ATCTCTTCTGCAATTTCCATTTGAGTAAGCGGGGCTATACTGCATGCTTCATTTGCGATAGATTTTACTAAACTCATATCTGAAGTTATTCCGTTTGGTGTGAATATGCTTTCTAAGAGATCGGCTTTCTCTATATTGCTCCTCGCCCAACTACTATTTGCTTTTATCAGCAGCTGAGCGTACTTAATCGGTCTCTCTTTACTCTTTGCCGCCTTCCATAAAGAATAATTCGTAAACTTCGCAGCTGACAAGTTCTTTGTATAAATTTTATATGTTGCCGATTTAAATTCTTGGATTTTTTAAGCACCTGGGAGAGTCTGTTTAAAACAGTTTTATCATAAGAGTGACGCGAACGTTGCCATCTACGTCTGACTCTTCTCTTTTCGCCTATTAAATCAGTTATTTCTTTAGGATATCTATTTGCTGTCGGTTTGTACTTTGGCAATCTTATTGTTCCATGAAACTTTCTGTATGGTTTCAATAAATTCTTCTAATTCAAGATATTATCATTGTTCTCTTGATTGTATATTAATATTTACGTAAATATTGTTTATTATTTCGTAGTTAAAGTTCGCCCAATCTGTATCATATTATTTGTCGTAGTGAGTTTATATAATTTTCTAGTTATTTTTTCACTTAGTTTTAATTTATGAGAGCCGAGTGATCTGAATTAAAATCATAACTATCTTCAAAGCTTAGAAGGTTTTCTGATATTTTAATATTAGTAATTAAGGTCAATAATATCAGGAATCTTGTTAGTGTCAAGAGGGCAATAAGTAACCCCATACTGTAGGTTTGGCATTATAGTCACCTTCTATTTGGTATCTATGGCCATTGTTGTGCTGGAAATCTATTTTTATTAATGTTGCGATTTGATGGACAGTATACAGCAACCAACACTAAAGTCCTGTTAAGTAGATTTAATTTATATCAAAATAAACTGAATTTCTGCTGTTTCTATCTTGAATTCTTCATTATGATCTATACTTTCTTTTATTAGTATTGCACTACCTCTCGACTCATTGCTGGGATGTACCGCTTTATAACAATCGTAAACTTTTATTTTAAGACCCGTATTATATGTCAAATGAGCCTCCGACGGCAAGCAAATTTCTATATTTCTCGTTTTGAGAAAAATCTCTAATTCCCCGTCTTCGACCCCACGATAACTCCAAAACTAATTGAGCTAAGTTCACCAAATTTTCACAAATGATTTGTTGTAGTAAATACCAGAACCTGTGGTATTGAAATTTCTTACAAGTAAATATATTAGAAGTGCCAATGTATTTGATAAAGGTTGTTGAAATATCTTAGCTCCTTTTGCTAGCTGCCATACAACTTCAAAAGTTTTTTGGCTATATCTGAGAAACTATAAAAGCTGTGATAGTGAAATTTCGCGCGAGGAAATATATTAGTAGGACCAACGTGTTGAATAAAATTCTTCAAAATTGCTTGGCTTTTTCTGGTAGCCGCCATACAACTTTAAAAGTTTTTTTGGATATATCTCAGAAACTATAAAACCTGTGATATTAAAATTTCACACAAGTGAATATATTAGTGTGGCCAGTGCTTTTAATAAAATTCGATGAAATTGCTTGGCTCTTTCCGGTAGTTGCTATACAACTTCAGTAGCAGCTTGGCTATATCTAAAAAAATATTGAAAACACAGTACTGAAATTTAGCATAAATTAATATAGCAATATGACAACCTAAAGTCATAGTCTACGCCATAGTCAGAGGCTATCACAGAGATGACACGGTCAACTCTATTTTTTCTTGTTTTTATTTATTTTTGGAGGTATAAATATTGTATATAAATTAATTTTTGGAGGTGTGAGTTAAAACAAAAGGTGAACAGTTCCATAAGAGAATTGTAAAGAGTTAATAAAATCTACATTGTTTAATAATAAGTATGTATGGACGTAAGAATCTAGTTATTTATTCTTTTCGCGATCTGCTGCAAAATGTTTTAGTAAGCAAAATATAAGTGTACAATAAATTTCTTGACAATATATTTTTAGTACAAAATTTTATAAAAAATGTCATTCTTTTCATTAAATTTTTTGCAAATAGGGTATTTACAAAAAAATATTTAGAACGGAAACTCGCTGATATTGATTTGTGAGGGTAAAGCTTTTTTAATTTCATTTTAAATAAGAATCGCATTTTTCAGGTTTCGAACCTGAGACTTTTTGCATAGAAAAAGTATGCTATACGCATTACCCTATGGCCTATATAGTATTTGTATTAACTAATTATACATTCACTCGTTTTATTCGCATGTATTAAAAAATCCAGACACATACGTGCACGGATTTTAGCAGCAAATTATTTAATACGTATACAGTAATTGATCCCTTAAAATGCTTATTGCCACAGGCAATTTACGATTTTATACGACGTAGCTCAAAGCGTGGTTCTAAAATAAATAATCAAAGGAACTAATTATTTGTTTCATTGTGTACTTTTGTGTAGTTATTTTTAAGAACTTTTCTAATTTTAAGTTTTACCTTATTATGTAATAGCAAAAAAAAAAATAATATCTATATGTATGTATATTACGGGCGTGTTTTTGAAGAAAATAAAGTGGGTCGAACCAATGGTTTGTATTTTAGCACTTTTCCCTTCAACATGTGAAAATACTGCTTTTAAATACAGTCTATGCATACCTATGACACTATTAAAATTATTTTCATTCATAAACGAAACTATTTCTAGGATTGCATGTATTTAGAATGAACGATTTATGCAGTCTTTGAAATTAAGCAAAAATTAATATAAAGAGGGGTTAACATTTTGCGTTTTAGAGGGGTAGCTTTTTGCGTTTTAGAAATTTGGAAAAGCTTGTGGTTCCGGAAATAGAAGGCGTTAAAAATTCAAATTTTACAAATTTAGAGAGCCGATAATTTGAGAGAGGTGGAGATGGAAAAAATTTTCTTTAACGAAATGAACTATTTATTAATGTAAAGTGTAAAAGCTGGTAAAATTTCAGGCTCCCACAACCTACGGTCTAGAAGAAAACCGAGATAAAAATTTGGAAAAAACGGATTAGAGATAACGGTAAATTTGAATGGCCATTTTATTTTTTTAGAGTTTTAGTATAGTATACCGCACTAGGAGAAGCAAACCACTGCCTTTCTGCGATTGCATTATTTAAAAATTCTTATGGTTTCATTGCAATAAATATAGGTATAAATCATTGCCATGATTTAGTAATTATGTGTTGAAAATTTATTTCTATATATCAAACCACAATTACGAATATTATTCAATTCATAAAAAATGCTTAAAAAAAATTAGTTAAGAAGCTTTAAAAAAATATACATACATGCTTATGTATTTAAAATTTTGCGAATTTTTCCAAACTATTATAACAATATTTTTTTGAAAATTTTCTTTAAACTTTTATAATAATATTTATCTGTTATATATTAGAAAAAAATAAAACAAAAAATTTAAACAAAATAAAAAAAATTTTTTAAAATAATCCAAAAAAAAAAATACGACAACACCCAGGCAAGCATTGATCCAATAACCGTCTGGCTATCAGACTACCACGCTACCTGCAAGGCTACACGCTAGGCTAGGTCCTAGAAAAATCTGACATTGAAATTTTTAACCCCGAGATAGCTCTATTTTAAAATTGTCTGAAAAAATCGTCAGCAAGCTTTAAAAAAATATATACATGCAGACAGGGATGGATGGTTCATATATGCAAAGTATGCATTTGCAGTGGGCGATAGAAAAGCAGGGGCGCCATTAAAAACTTTAAAAAACCATAAATTTAAAAAAAAAAAAAATTAATACAAATTTAATTCAATTTACAGCGAAATTAACTTGATAAAATGTACCTACATACAAACATAATATTTTATTCCTAATAATATAAAAAATGTGCATGAAACAAAACGGTCAGTTACGCAAAACACTAAGTATTGATCTTCATATGTTTTCCTTTCGCACCATACAATGAAATGTTCGTAGAATGAAAATTATTGATACATTTTCTTAATCTACACTACTCTTTTATTTTTATTTATTGTACAAATTCACAAAATATTTTTTTCAATGACATGAATCATCAGAATTACAATTATTAATTTCTCCTTTTACATACATACTAGAATAAATTCGTATATTATGCCCAAGAGAAAATATTATTTCATACAGCTGTACACATTCAATCCTACATATACATAAGTGAAATCGTCTCATATAATATACATAGAAGCAAGATACGCAAAAAATAAAAATATTCAAAAATATACATGCACACAATTTATATTGTTTAATATGAATAAGATCAACACTCATGCGTACACATATAATTATCTCATAAAGCAAGATTTTTATTTTGCTGAGATTGCTCCCTATCAACACTCGCTCGTACACATATAATTATATCATCATCATCATCATTTAGCGTTACAGCTCGGTGTGAGCTTTAGCCTTCTTCACAATATTTCTCCAGACAACTCGATCTTGTGCACAATGTTGCCAGTTTTGTACACCCATTTTTCTGGTATCATTTTCAATATTATCTTTCCACCTTACTCTCGGTCTGCCTCTAGTCCGGTTATGTAATGGTCTTGCTTTGAATATTTTAATTTGCGCTCGATTTTCATTCATACGTATTAAATGACCTGCCCATCTTAATCGTTGTGCTTTTACAAATCTTACAATATCTTCGTCTTTCATTATATTATTTAATTCTTCATTTGTTCTTCTTTGGTATTCGCCATTATCTAGTCTTTTTGCACCAAATATTTTACGGAGTATTTTCCTTTCAAATATACGTAGGTTATTTTCGTCTCTAACAGTAAGTGTCCAGCACTCACATCCATAGGTGACAATTGGTCGTATAATGGTTTTATATATTATAAGTTTCGTTTGTCTTGTAAGTAATTTCGATTGTAATAATTTCTTATTTGCAAAGTAGCTTCTATTTCCTGCTGTTATTCTGTCTTGTATGCTTGAGTGCATACTGTTGTCATTTTTTATTAATACTCCCAAGTAAGTGAAATGTGTAACACCCTCAAAATTGTGTTCGTTGATGGTGATATTTTAGGCGGTTCTTCTGTGTTCTTGTTTCGATATTTTTAGGTACTTTGTTTTCTTTTCATTTATTATTAGTCCGAATTTTTTGCATTTTTCCTCTAGTGTCACGAATGTTTCAACTAGAGTCCTGTAATTTTTTGATATGATTGCTATATCATCAGCGTATGCAATTATTTGATGGGACTTTGTAAAAATATTTCCACCCCCATCCATTTCTCCTATAGCCTTTTCCAATACTATGTTAAATAGCATAGCTGATAATGCATCACCCTGTCGTACTCCTAATTGAATTTCAAAATTATCTGACACCGAATTCTGTATCATTACCTTCGCTTTTGACCCAACCATCGTTGCCATAGTAAGATTTGCTAATTTTCTGGGTATACCAAGTCCTAATAGTGATTGTACAATTTTGTTTCTATTTACACCGTCAAAGGCTTGTTGAAAATCAATAAATAGTATATGTAGATCTTGACCAAATTCGTAACATTTTTCCATATTTTGCTTTAATAGATAAATTTGATCAACAGTCGACCTCTGATTTCTGAACCCACACTGATATTCGCCTATAATTTCTTCGTAGTAAGGTCTAATTTTCTCATACAGTATATTAGACAGCACCTTGTATGCAGCATTCAATAGCATAATACCTCTGTAATTATTGCACTCAGTTTTATCCCCTTTTTTGTGTATTGGTCTTAAAATACTAATGCGCCATTTTTCAGGTATAGTCTCTTGTAACCATACATTACATATTAGATTATGTAATTTCTTAAATAAATGTTCACCTCCTTTACATAACAGCTCAGCTGTTATTGCGTCTTCGCCTGGCGCCTTGTTGTGTTTTAGCTTATTTATTGCGTTTTTTACGTCACTCATTGATGGTGTGTCTATTAGGGGTTCAGCAGTATATATTATATTTTCATCTTCTTGACTTTCCTCTGTTGTTTTGTTCAATGTGTCTTTAAAGTGCTCTGCCCATCGTTTTATGATTTCATTTTCTTCTGTAATCATTTTTCCATCTTTATCTTTACATAATGCTAGTTTCGGCTGGAAGTTGTTAGCTGCGTAGTTAATATCTTTGTAAAATTTTCGGATGTTTCCATGATTGTAGTCATTTTGTATTTGACTTACTTTTTCTTTCATATATAATTTTTTCTTATTTCGGCATAATTTTGTAGCTATTCGTCTCTTTTCTGTATAATTCTCCATATTTGCTCTTGTACATCTTTGTAGAGTTTTTTGTCGCGTTTCATTTTTTATTTTTATGGCTTCTCTACATTCATTATCAAACCATTCGGCATTTCTTTGCATTTGTTTTTGTCCGATAACATTTCTGGCGCTTTCAATTAAGGCCGTTTCAATTTCATTCCATTCATCATCTATATTTTCAAATATATAGTCTGTTTCATGCATAAGATTCTTGACGGAGTTTTGAAATTGCTGAGTTATTTCATTGTCTTTTAATTTGTCACTATCCCATTTGACTCTTCGTACTCCTCTATTTTTTGCTACGTTTGATATTCTTTGTCGTAGTATGGTTTTAACTAGATAGTGATCGCTATCGCAGTTTGCACCTCTACAGCTTCTTACATCAATTATTGATGATGACCATCTTGTGGATATTAGTACGTGATCTATTTGGTTCGCTAGATTTGTACCAGGTATTTTCCATGTACCTTTATGTATTTCTTTTCTCTTAAACGACGTACTTTTAATTTTTAACGATGTTTCGCTCGCGAATTGTAATAATCGGTGTCCATTTTCGCTTGTTTCTTCGTGCATTGAAAATTTTCCAGCAACCCGTTGTGCCAGCTCTTCCTTGCCTATTTTTGCGTTAAAATCGCCCATTATAATAATTGTATCATATTTTGACACCCTTTCGCATACAAGACTTAGTTCGTCATAGAAAACCTCTTTTATTGTTTCACTCGCCTCCTCTGTAGGTGCATACGCTGATATTAGACATATATTATTAAATTTTCCCTTGATTCTTAAGGTGCAGATTCTTTCATTAACTGGATTAAAACCTATTATACCCTTTTGTATACTACATATAATTATATCACAAAGCAAAAATTTTTATTATGCTTAGTGATCTCCCTGGCTACACTCGTTCGTACACATTATATTTAAATTGTTTCATACATGCAAAATTTTATTTTTGCTTAGTTGTCGCCCACTCACCAAACAAACAAACACATTATTATAATGTATTACTTTTTCTGTATACTATTGCATTAGTAAACAACAAAAACAAAACAAAAAAAAACAAAAATTAAGAATGAGAATAGAAAGAAATTAGAAAAAGAGAATGAGAGCAATATTCTTAAATAATGGAATGCATAGCTTAATATTGAGATTATGTATATCAATATTTTCTTTTTGTTTAACAACAAAAAATTTTGAATGAATTTCAATTTACATAATCGTTATGAATTTCTACTACTATGTTTTACTTCGTTTTTGAAAAAACTGTTATCAATCACAGAATTAAATATTAATTGGTAATATCTACTACTTATATTGAATTGGAAAAATGTTGTTTAACAAAAAGCTTATTTTTTAAGTCTCAAATTTTAGAACGAAACTTTGATTTTCCTTAAATTTTTGAATGCAAAATAAAAAGCCAATTTTATTCGTAAATTTAAAATTATGAATAAAAATAAATTTTTACTTTTTTTCCTATTCAAATAAGCTTTGAAAAAGTCCATTTGATATAATTTTCATAGAACCTTTTACAATAAGTTTAACTTACGTCAAAAAGTAAATTTTTTGGTTGTTAAAATCAAAAAATCAAGTTTAAATGATTGACATAAATCTGATCATAACTTCATAAAAAGACATACAGTTAAATAAATTACCTTGTTTTTGAATTTATAAAACAAAAAATTGAAAGTTTAGTTCCAGATTTTAATTCTATAATTCAGCGTAATAAGTTTACAAGAAAGTGCTGTATGATGCAGAATGTGCAATGCCTATTAAATTTTGTTCCCAGAAATAAAATAGGTGAAACAGTTGAAGTGGGGGCGCACTTTTCAGGAAACGCTTAGGGCGACGAATACATTAGGACCGCGCCTGCATGCAGAATATTATGTACGTATGTAGTCAGAATTTTATTTTTATTGTTCCAAACGAAAACCTGTAAAATGTTAAATTTTAATACATCCATATGTACATACACACATATATTTGAATAAAATTATTATTTTGTTTTTGCTTCCATCTTTTCTTTATTTGAAAAATTACATTCATATGTACATACATATATTTGAATACAAATATTATTTAATTTTTCCCGAAACCTTTTCTTTATTTGAAAAATTTGATTCTATATGTTCACCCGCAGTTTTAAAAAAATAGGTATACTTTAATTTTTTGAACAAAAAATTTTAAAATGTTCAATTCTAATACGTTCATGTACATACATATATTTAAATAAAAATATTATTTTATTTATGCCTAAACCTTATTTATGCCTGAAAAATTTATTTCTGTATGTTACCCCTATGATTTAATAATTATGTGTTTCTATATGCCAAAAAACGGTTTTGAATATTATTCAATTCATATAGGAAGCTTAAAAAAAAATTAGATGGGAAGCTTTTAAAAAAAATATATATACATATTTATGTACCTAACTATTATAACAATATTTTTTTGGAAATTTTCTTTTAACTTTTATAATAATATTTATCTGTTATATATTAAAAAAAATAAAAAAGAAAATTTAAACAAAGTAAAAAAAAATTTTTTAAAATAATCCAAAAAAATCTGATGTGGTCAGCACATAACCGACCGCATTGTGTATTGTCTAGTTAAATGAAAGTGTTACAGAATATTATAAAAATGTCTGTTAAATACTTCTTTCCAATTTTTAGGACATTAGTAAGCTTATAGTTAACATACTTAGAAAAATGTAAATTTGGCTCTTAGTAGAGTTTCGCTTTGTGCTACTCGAATTTCCTGAAATGCTCGCCAGTTAGTTTCGGTAACAACCAGAACTCAAATATCAAATTTCAAGAAATTCCATCAATTTGTTCTGTGGATATGGTGAAAAATGTAAAATCGGCCCGCAAATCAGTTCTCGAGCCCTGATCTTTCCAAAAAAGTTATATGTTCATTGCTTTAATATGAGGAATTCATATATTAAATTTCAATGAAATCGGTTGATTATTTCTCTTTATATACACAAAAATGTATATCTGGCCCGTAGTAAACGTCTAGTTGCCGATGCCTGATTTTTTTCAAAATATACGAATTTTTGCGGACGGTCGAGCTGAGCTTATATATAAAATTTCAAGTAAATCAGTTGAATATTTTCTTCAAAATGTTCAAAAATGTAAAACAGGCCCGCTAAAAAGTGCAGTTCCCGAGGCCTGATATATACCAAAAGTTGATCGATCCGTGCCATGGTGGAAACAAACTTACATATAAAATTTCATCAAAATCGGTTCAGCCGAACTTGAGATACACGCGTGCACACACAGACCGACAGACCGACAGACCGACAGACGGACAGACCGACAGACCGACAGACCGACAGATCGACAAACCGACAGACCGACAGGTTGCTAAAAATATTTTATTTACACTTCCCTACTATGGAGAAGTACGTTCCCACCGAAAACTCGATATGAAAAATTTGTTGCCATCACATAACCTACCTATTGTTTACACAATACGGTCGGTAAAAAGAAAAATACGACAACATCCCAGGCAAGCATCGATCTAATAACCTTCTGGTTATGAGACTACCACGCTTGAATTTTCCTTTGTAATTCTATATTTTATTCATATTTCGTATACTCATCGAAAACCATCATATTTTACATTATTATATATATATAGCTACTTCTTAGGTGGTAAAAAGTACGGGTACTTCTAGAAAGGCTAGAGACATGGGACAAAGGGCATTAGATAGAGTTTTGCCTCCAGGGTCCCAGAAAAATCTGACATTGGAACTTTTTAGCCCCGAAATAGCTCTATTTTAAGGTTTTCTGAAAAAATTTTTGTATAACAAAAGCACGTTTTTCTATTATACTTTTTATAATTAGAAACACAAACCAAGAAATAAATGATACGTTTTACGTTATTTTTATTATTAGAAACACAAACCGAGAAATAAATAATATTTGAAAATGCAATGATCTCACATATATTTTAATTTCGAAAAATCGAAATAAACTTAAATAAATGTCAGATTTTATAAAAGACATCAGATGTTTTGTGGCAACTGAATATTAATGCTTCATTTGTTATTGTTTTGAATATTATGTTTCGTCAGCAAGCTTTAAAAAAATATACATACATACACAATTTATGTACGTATGTATCTACCTAAAATTTTATTTTTATTGTTCGAGCGAAAACCTGTAAAAAATGCTAAATTCCAATCCATTCATATATCCATACACACATATATTCATATATACTTATATACATAATTATAATATACATAATTATGTATATTTGCATTTATAATTTTATTTATAATTTTTCCAACAACAAAATTTCAAAATTTTCGATTCTAATACATTCATATGTACATACGTTCATATGTTGGAACGAAAAATTTTAAAATCTTCAATTCTAATCCATTCATATATCCATACACACATATATTCATATATACATTCATACACATATTTTACATACATAAATTATTATTTTGTTTTTGACTAAACATTTTCTTTATGTTTAAAATTCAATCCTATATGTTTACCCGCAGTTTAAAAAAAACAGGTATCCATTCATAATTATGTATATTTGCATTTATAATTTTATTTATAATTTTTCCAACAACAAAATTTCAAAATTTTCGATCCTAATACATTCATATGTACATACGTTCATATGTTGGAACGAAAAATTTTAAAATCTTCAATTCTAATCCATTCATATATACATACACACATGTATTCATATATACATACTTACATATATTTTTACATACATAAATTATTATTTTGTTTTTGACCAAACCTTTTCTTTATTTGAGAAATTAATTTTTGTAAGTTTACCCCCATGATATAATAATTATGCGTTTAAAATTTATTTCTATATATTCTACAGTTTTGAATATTATTAAATTCATATAGAAAGCTTAAAAAAAATTACTCAGTAAGCTTTAAAAAAAATATACATACATACATATTTATGTACTTAAAATTTTTGCGAATTTTTCCAAACTATTATAAGAATATTTTTTTGGAAATTTTCTTTAAACTTTTATATAACATTTATCTGTTATATATTAAAAAAAAATAAAACACAAAATTTAAACAAAATAAAAAAAAAAATTTAAAATAATGCAAAAAAATAAAAATACGACGACATCCAGGCAAGCATTGATCCAATAACCTTCTGGCTATGAGACTACCACGCTAACCACTAGGCTACGCAGTACCTTGAATTTCGCTTAATAATTCTATATTTTATTCATATTTCGTATAACTCTTCAAAAACCATCCTATTTTACATTATATATATATAGCTACTTCTCAGGTGGTAAAAAGTACGGGTACTTCTAGAAGGGCTAGAGACATGGGACAAAGGGCATTAGGTAGAGTTTTGCCTCCAGGGTCCCAGAAAAAGCAAGTATTCCAAACGTCCGCCCTCCCCCTACACCCCCTCCAAAGATGTTTTGGTCCATTTTTTTACAAAATGGTATAACATCTTATGGGGGTAATGTTTGTATAATTTTGATGGCATATATATTGGAAATAAGTTAAATTCTATAAGTGCGAGTTATAACAAGAAAACAAAAAATTAATAATATCTACATATAGTTTTATAGCATGTACGATTACATACACATTTACTTATATACATATGTATTCTTTTTGCGATTTGCTACTAAGGTATAATCAATTATACTAAGGTACAATCGGAAAGTAATCGATACAGCATTGATATGCAATCATGTAAAAGACCTGTATGAAAATGCTTTAACAAAGTTTGGTGCCCAAAAATGCCAAAAATACACATAGACATCGTATGCAATACGTATTACCAAATATACGTTAGAATTGGTGTTAACTCATTCTA